CAGATGTCATGGTGAAAACCATTGTCCTCAAAAAGGTTCTAGACCATAGTTTCTCTACCTTGACAGCTTGAAGACGGGTGGACTTCAACTCCCAGAATTGAAGGTCAGAGTTTCTCAACCTAGCTGGGGGGGGGGGGGAATTCTGGGCGTTGAAGTCCACCCAACTTCAAGCTGTCAAGGTTGAGAAACTCTGATCTAGACAATTTCTAGAGAGGCTTTCTGTTCCGTTGGGTGTGTACTGCCCTTTGAATTTCAGACAGCATCCCTTAAATACCAGCTGTTGTAGGAACACTGGGTTTTTTTAAAGAGCCCCAAACACATCTGGATGGCTGCTGCATGAGCCTGAACCACGGTGGAGGAGCGAAGCTTGGGCAGATAGCCCTTCCTTCTTTACTTCCGCGGCATTTTTGGATCCATGGCATCTGCGGCGTGGGCTTGCCATGGAGATACCTCCGGCTGGGGATCACTCTTGGCCGCTCCTGTCACAACGGGTCACCAACGCTGCAGGCAGCCACATCTCCGTGGGGTTTTGGTAGAAGCCAGCGATGGATGAAGGAGACACAAAACGCATCGAGCCTCACGTAGCTGACGAGCCTCGCAGGGTTCTCCTGACCCCCCACAAGCTTCCCTTGAGCTGCACCGGGGTCTCCGTTCTAAACTCAAGACATTAGTGGAGAAGCCGCCCTAGGACTGCAAGGCGTTTAAAGATCAACAGAGGCCAAAAACAAACAGACAAAAAAGGCTTTTTAAAAGCCAGCGAAACCAAGAGGGCAGCCTTGCTCCCTTTCAGTGTCAGGTTAGATTGCCGTCTCCAAGAGCTTCATCCGTTCAGGTACCGAGCGCTCCACGGCTTGAGTGCTGCGTACCCAGAAAACATCTGTTTCTTTCACCTACAAACCACAATGGGTTGTGAAGAAGGCTGGGCTGTAGCCACAGAGACCCAGGGGGGGCTTAAGAGATTCCCACTGAAAGGATCGAGCGAGGCCTGACTTCTCCCCTCCCTCCTGAAATGGGTTGTGTTTTTTTTTAATGCACATAAAAGATGCTTTTAAGGCGTTCAGCACGCCATAAAGTGAGCAGATCAAGTTACATATCCAAGCTGGGTGTTCCTGCCCACATGTGCTTTCTCGCCGGATTATTTTTGCTACTTCTAACCTCCCCGTTTTTTTCTCATCACCTAGGGCCGCGACGTAGATTGACTTCTGCCATTTCTATCGCTGGTTAATTTTAGCCTTCTCCCAATTTCTCCAGTATCAAAATAGGGTGCGGGGTTTGGTTTGATTTTGTTTTTTTTAACCAAAATCTGGAGGGCAATTGGCTTCATCCCTCCCATACGTTGTGCCAGGCGGCTGGCATTTTCGTCTTCATCGTGCACGGGTTGCTATCTCGCCAGAACTCTGTGAAGGAGGTATTTAGAAAAGCGTGGAGGGGAAAAATATATATATATATATATATATATCGAGAATTTACCCCCTTAGCAAATTTCATCATTGTGACCTCTGATGACAGCGAGGGATAAGTTGACCAGAAGATAAGGCCACCGAGAAGTCACCCTGCAGGGGAGATGAGTGGCCTAAAATTTTAATGAATCAATTAATAAGGATGCTTTACTAAGGTTTGATATCCTTACTCCTAACTAAGAAGGGATGGATTTCTCCTTTACTGGCCCCAAAATACGGTGAAATAAGTACGATGAAAAAGCTTAAGAGACTTAATGCTGTGTGACTTACTTGCATTTTTGAACTTTTTTTTTAAGCGCGTGTCTTTCTTGAGTTGGTGAAAAAGGTAATTCTGGAGATTGTTAAACGTTAGCAGGAGCTCTCAAGAGCGTCCATCAGTGTCGTAGCTTGGATACGTGAGCTGTGAACTTTTTCTATAATAGGCATTTTACAACATTTTTTTTTTCCCCCATTTAAAATAGCTCCAAACACTCTTTCAGAAAACACACGTTCCCTCCTTTGTATAAAATAAGATATCGATTCAGTGTCTTCTGAACTCGAACCCTGTCTTGCAAATCTTGACACACACACACACACACACATCTACGGTTGGAGTTTCCCCTGAGTGATTCCCGTTTTGCCTTTCTAGAGACCGTGGTGAAAGACGACATGAACAACTACATCAGTCAGTACTACAACGAGCCCAGCAGTGGTAAGCTTGGATTTGGAAGCTTAAGAGGCGCCCTTAAGAGGAGTCTCTAGGGAGGAGGGGGCCTTGCCCAGAAGCGACCTGCCGCCCCCTTCTTAGCTCCCCCCCTGAATTTCAGGGAGAGACCGTGTCCTTCTGTCCTTCTGTCACGGCGGCAGCTTCCTCCTCCCTTGGGGAACATTATCGCCTATTAATGGGAGGGAGGAGAAAAGGAGGGAAGGAGCAAAGGGAGGGAGGAAGGAAGGGGAAAAAGGGAGGGAAGGAGGGAGGGAAAGGAGCAAAGGGGGGGGAGGAAGGAAGGAAGGGGAAAAGGGGAAGGAGGGAGGGAAAGGAGGGGGAAAAGGGAGTGGAGGAGTGGAGGGAGGGAAGGAAGGGAAAGGAGGAGAAAAGGGGAGGAAAGGAGCGAAGGGAGGGAGGGAGGAAGGAAGGAAGGGGAAAAAGGGAGGGAAGGAGGGAGGGAAAGGAGAAAAGGAGCAAAGGGGAGAAGGAAGGAAGGAAGGGGAAGGAGGGAGGGAAAGGAGGAGAAAAAGGTAGTGGAGGAGCGGAGGGAGGGAGGAAGGGGGAAAAGGGAGGGAAGGAAGGAGGGAAAGGAGGAGAAAAGGGGAGGAAAGGAGGAAAAAAAAGGAGGGAAGGAGCGGAGGGAGGAAGGAAGGGGGAAAAGGGAGGGAAGGAAAGGGAGGGAGAGATGGAAGGAAGGAAGAAGGAGGGAGGGAGGAAGATAGGAAAAGCACTGAAGACTTATATGCCGCTTTGCAGTGCTTCACAGCCCCCTCTAAGTGGTTTACAGAGTCAGCCTCTTGGCCCCCAATAATCCGGCCCCTCCGTTGTCCTCCAACAAGGCTTATCCTCCACCCTTTTTCCAGACAGAGCTCAGGGCTCCTCATGGCTAGGCGGGCACTTCTCTGGATCCAAGCTAGGGGGGGGCTCTTTTAACCTTTGACCTCTTTGCCCACAGACAGCGGTGTCCCCGAGGGGGCCTTCTGCGTCATTACCACGGCGGCCATCGACGTCCACCAGCCCAACGTCTCCTCCGACCTCTTCATGCTGGAAATGCCGATGAAGATGATGGAGAGCAACGGGATCTCCACCAGCGCCGCGTCGGGCAGCGCCTCCCGATCCACGGACAGCTCAGTCACGCGAGCGCAGAGCGACAGCAGCCAGACCTTTGGCTCTTCCACGGACTGCAGCACAACGCGGGAGGAGTCCTCCGATTACTGCCCCTTGAAGCAGCCCTGCCAGGCAGCCCAAGGCGCTCAGGTCAGCTCCTCTCCCCACCGCAGGGTCCACAACGCCGTCGTCCAAGAACTGCTCTCCTCCTTATCCGAAGACTCCTGCCTAACCCAAAAGGGCCTGGACCCCGTTAACCTTAAGCTGCCAAGCCCGGCGGGGTCGGCCACCGCCAGCCCCGAACTGGAGCGCCACGTCAACATTTACAACAAAAAGAACCAAGAGAACTTTGGGGTCTTTCAGAAAAAGCCCGTCCTCCCCTTCCAGCAGAAGACCCAGGTGATCAACAAGTACACGTCGTTGGAGTCCAAACCGCCCAGGTTCCACAGCATCCCGGATTCCTAGTCTTGGGTTGGGGTGGCGCGGTTCAGACGGTGGTTCGCCGTGGGGGGTGGGGGGCACACACTAAAAAGCTTTAAAATGGGGCCCTCGGAGAGCATTCCGAGGTGGGTGTTTTAATTTGGATTTCAGAAGTGGAAATTCGTTTTTCAAAATGCATGAGTTACGAGCGCCAGCACGAAAGAAAAAAAAAAGAGAGAGAAATTGACCAATTCTGCCACCCGGAGTTCTTTGGGTCTCACCCCCGAGGGAAAGAATATTAGGGGGCAGGGGCGGTGAACGCGGTTAAAACAATGACCTCAAAAGATGTATAGATTCTTACTTAAGGTGTGTGGGGGGTTTTTTGGGTAGCCAAGTGAACACAACAAATCCTATCCTTTTTACTGAATTTCGGACAATCTTCTATAAAAACTCGTCTCCCTCCTAACGGTTTCTTACAAACGTCCCCTTTGTATGTGACTCAATTACGAATCCCATTTGTATGGACAGTTATTTTTAACCTTCCTGGGGAGGGGAAAAAAAAAAGAAATCGCCCTGTTTTTCAAGAATTACTTTGAACGATGCTGCTCAAGGACATCTTTCAATACTTTAAAAGAATTTTAAAGTAAGTGTTCTCTTATTTTTAGCATGAACTTTGGGGAAGAAATATTTTGGAAAAAAAAAACAAAATAATTATTGCCTCCGTGATAAACAGAACAAAAACGGGCATTTTACAAATACAATTTTAATTAAAATATTTTTTTTAACAAAAGAAATATTCTAAACCAGTGTTTTCATTTTGTTGCCTAGCTGGACGAGCTGATCATACAGCAGCTTTCGTTTAAAAGGTTTTTTTTTTAAAGAAAAATATTTTAAACATGAAAGTTTTAATTTAGAATTGATTTTTTTTCTTCCATTTCCACCACATGCTCAGGGACAACTCATATTACTCTTGTGTGTATTAAATTCAAAAGCTACCAGCTAGTCATTTCCACATGGAGTAACTTGTAACTTACATTACAAGAGCTGTTTAATTCCCAGAACCCACTGGTTGGAAGCGTTCAGAACATTGTACCTGCCAATTTGAGATAAGCATGGAGAACTGTCTACTTCCAGTTACACTCAGAAACCTGGGCATAAATTTACTACCAATGGTAACTGGTAGTAGACCCCCCAAAAAAACAGAACATTCGTAGGTTGATTTTGGATCCTTTGACATTCCAGTTTTCCCTTGGTAAAGTATCAACTCTTTTTAACAATCACACTGTAGAAAAATATAAGGAATTCCCACAGCCTGATATAATACAAAATACAGCAGGTGTATGTTTATTAGAGAATTAGAAAAACAGTTCAGGAATTTACAGAGCCAAATGAAAAGGGCAGAAATGGGTGCATTGTAAGATCGTCATTGGCATTTTGGGTTTTTTGGCAATTTTTACATTTCTAGTTTGATAAAACATAATTTAAACTGCTTAAAAATAATCTCTCTCTCTGTATGAAGAGATGCTCATCCCTTCCCTTACATGGAATAGCTTTCATTTTTTTAATGCTGCCGTCATTTCGGGAACAACCTGGAAGCGACACAAAACAACAAGCATACCTATCAGCCAAATAGCAATAGGCAATAGACCTCTATCCAGCTTTTAATCCATGTAAAAGAGATGCTTATATATCCACACTGGAAGCAACTAAATATTTGAATTCACCTTTTTAAAAACATACGAAATGTGTAAGCCTGGACTGCCCATCAACTAACATACTGATATATTTCAGTTTCTGAGTTCATTGTTTGGACCAGAGGAAGCTATTCTAGACAAAGATTTTTTAACGTTTGAAAGCGATCCACCGGGGAGGAAAAGCCACTTATTTGTAGAACTTGGTGCCAAGGAATGTCCCCCTGATGGTGGAACGGCCAAGGCTAAACACCTGGGCAGGTAGTAGGTGATTTCCTTCTTGTCGTCCAAAGAGCGTCAAGATGAGAGCAGGTGGCAATGCTCCTTACCGGTTACACCTGAACACTTGCGCAAACTGCTTGTGTAAAATATCCATTACCTTTTATCCTTCCAGGCGCTGTAAGGATGCCGGGCGCTTGGAGAGATCCCAGCTGAACTCACCGTCTGATGAATATAGCCTCTCAATTATTTAAGAGAGCTACATTTCCATTAAGTGGAAATAATGTGGTCGTACAAAATTTATTAAGGAAATTGTCTACATCGTGTTTCTTCCGAATGTCGCTTTGTCTCCAGCTTATTAAAAGGCCGGTATTTACTGCCAAGATGGCAGGAAATCACAGAGGAACAGCATTAACTGCTGGCAGAGTTCGGACTGTCTTCTCTCCACGGGGCATAATGGGGGTGAGGGTGGGGGGGACAGCAAGATGGCGGCCGCAATGGTACATCCAAAACTCCCCCAACTTTTCGTACATGTTGCATGGAATCGGGCGGAGCGGCCACCACATCATTGCGGCTGCCATCTTGACAGCGCGATGCATTGATGACGTTCCCTAGTTGGGGAATGAAACGCCTGCAAAATACGACCAAGCTCAGAAAGCACCGAAGACCCCCACCCCCACAATAACTTGGCATAAAATACAAGTAGTTTCTTGCTTCCTTGCAGGTCAGTCTTAACAAACGGAGAAGATAATCTTTAGGGTCATTTGTTTACCGTGAGCGCCACTGGCACGCATTAAGTCCCGAGACACATCATCGTATTCTTGAAAAATAATATAGTCTAGGGATTGTTGGGATCATAAGAAGTCAATTGTTGCATTTTTTAGGTAGGCTTGCTATCAAAATTGGAGGTCAAAAGTTGATAATGTTTGGTGGATAAAGCTTTCTATGGCTTGGAATATTAAGGGTTAAAAGAACCCAGTGCTATAACCCTAGACAGGCGAGAATTTCCATGCAGAACAAGGAAGGCTAAATGTCAGGTTTGAAGTCTAATTCGACTTCCACCCCTCACATCAAGAAGGGGAGTGTGTCTGGGTTGATTCCTCTGGAAGGAAGACTCACCTTAAACAGGTCAGCTACTATACCATAGTCTGCAACTTGGAATATGGGCGCTTCAGGGTCCTTGTTGATGGCAACGATGGTCTGTAAGAGAATGAAATGGGGCTATTTAGAGAAACCAAGTTATTGACAGGGTAGTCTACAGACACTGCAGTATTATGCGTGGCTTTGCTGCTATTGGCCTAAACACGACAGCTTTTCCAAAATGAGTTCCCTTTAATCGTTCAGAAAGCAGAAGTTCAGAAATTAAGTGAATGAAAACCCCTTTTCTCACAAATTCCTACATAGGCAAATGTCAACAATTCTGGCTTGTTTGCCGCCTTCTCTGAAACCCAGGAGAGCTTCATTATTCTCGAAGCAAGAATCTCTGCATAGTAGATTCATCTTGACTTTTTTTTCACTTTTATCCCAGTGGGATATATTGCAAGCAAGCATTCAAAAAAAAAAAAAATCCAGATCGCTAAGCTTTGTAATAATGAAGAGATTTTTCTGGGGTGTTCCTACTGCCTGATTTATCGTCCTATCCCAACTTAACAGTCTAAGGAGCTAGCTAAAAGCTTCAAAATTGTTTGCGATGAGTAACTCTACTCGGGGGCTGCAAAAATTACAAACTGGGAGCTACTGGTGATGATGTACTTGGCAACTTTAAGAGAGGCGGTCTTCAATTCCCAGAGTTCTCCATACTGGCTGGGGATTCCGGAAATTGAAGTCTATTCCTCTTAAAAGTTGCTAAGATTGACAACCATTGTCGGCCACTCTCACTCCACTAGATGAAATCATGGTCTATTTAGCCTAGCATCCAGGAAGGGAGGGGCAACGGGGGGGTTCCACCCTCTACTAAACCCATTTTCTACTGTTGTAAGTGAAGTAAATAATACATTTTTCTTGCAGAACGCTCTAGGGTATACCCTACAAAATTCCTCATAATGGCTGATATTTCCAAGCAATGGAGAAAAAGCCACTGAAGAGACAGTTAATGTGATTACTGTGAGTTCCTTTAAAACCCTTTTAAATAAACATGGTTTGTTTGAATAAAGACAGTATCTTTTAAATTTTCTAAGCGCAGAGGTAAGAGCACAGGTCAAACCGAAGTGAAAAATTTTGGCTCTGGAAAATCCATGTTAGGAATTTAAATAACCACCTAAATAAAAAAAATCAGGTTAGCAGCGTAACACCGACAGCATAGAAGCAAGATAATCATTTGATCCAGTCCAACAGTTATTTGAATTAATGAATTATAAGCCGAACTTAACTTCCTAGCCCAAATCAAATCAAACCAAATGGATTTTTTTTGTTCATTTCTGAAGATGGGGTGAAAGTTTAGCAAAAACTAAAGTGCTCTTTTGTCACTTGAACTCTTTTGCAAAATCTGAAATAAGAGGGAGTTGAATTGCTTCATATACTTTGAAATGGCTCAATTTTACTGACACCCATCAATTTATCATTATCGATACAAGTGCCTCCATTTGGGTGGGGTAGAATTTATAACACCGGGTGCCATTCCTTTATTACTTTTATCATGCCAATTCTGGATCCCTTATTCCTTTTTAACTGCCCGGAGCTTAATCTAAATCGCACCTCTCCACTGAACTGAAATGGTTACCATTTCAGCGCCTAACACTTAAAATGTTCATTCCACTTTTACAATTTAATAAAATATTATGGGTAGCTTTTAGCTGATGTCACTGGAGAGAAAAAGGAGGATATCAATTTCAAATCTTTTTATTCTTCAATTTTAAGTACAGGATCAATTATCAAGGCAAGGCAGAAGCAGATTTTATTATGATCAGAAATGTTTAACCTCAGGTGAATGTAAGACATAATCCTTAAATATATTTCCACGGGGAATGGAACAGATGTCTTTCTTTGGGAGTAATCCACAAGTAAAATAGACTTGAACGTTACTCAACAATCGCCTTCAAGGTTTGGTATGTGAAAATATGCCCTGAATTAGGCAATAGCTGCTCTGACCCAGGCTTCGTAAACCGTAATTATTCACAAACTTGTTTTAAAAACAAAACCTATTTTATTGCAACGCTGGGAATTGTTTTCACTCCCCTTTTTTAAAAAGAGTATTTTTTCCTTGGCATCTGACAGGTCAGGCTGGATAAGAATCCAAGTGTTAAACATGGGTACTAACCAGTTAAGTTTTTAAAGCTTTTATCATTTTATAATAGGTTTCCATCTGAGTGGATAAATTGTGGAATATTCAAAGACGCTTTTTCTCTGCGCAATAGTAAATCCATAATTCAGACTGTACATTGTCATGCATGAATTCATGCCCCACAGTCTGAAATATATGAAAATGCATCGAGTGGACAGATTTCTAATTTTATTTTCACATTTAAAACTGAGTTTGTTTCTCACTCAGGGTTCCAGATTTGGCAGTCAAGGACTTAAAAGACAGTCTCTATTAATACGTTCTCCTGTGAACTGTTTGAATGTTATTTTGAGTTATTTGTAACTCATTTATTTTCGGAAGAGAATTCATTTGGGGTCCTTTAGATTTTGCATTGCCAGTAACAACAACAACTACTACAAAACCCAATTTGGAAAGCAGTAACCATCCACTCCTCGTAGCAACACACAAAAGTTTTGCACAGTACCTTACTGTCTTTCATCCCAGCCAGATGCTGAATAGCTCCGGATATTCCTACAGCGATATATAACTCCTGCACGGAAAGAAAGAAAAAGAATACAATATTTTAAAAACCTTTTTAAGCTGACGAAAGAAAGATTCTGCAACTGCAGAAGTACAGCTAATCCTCGTCTTACGACCACAACCGAGCCCAAATCTCTGCTGTTAAGTGAAACAAGGGAATTTTGCTCCATTTAAGGACCTTTCTTGCCACAGTTGGTAAGTGGATCACTGCAGTTGGTAAGTTAGTCACCCGGTTATTAAGTGAATCTGGCTTCCCCGGTGACTTTAGAATAAGAGTTGCAAGGGACCTTGGAGGTCTTCTAGTCCAACCCCCTGCCTAGACAGGAAACCCTACAGACAAATGGTTCTCCAACATCTTTTTAAAAACTTTTTAAAAACTTCCAGTGTTGGAGCATTCACAGCTTTGTCTGTCATGAGGTCACCAATGAACCAGTTGCCAATTATCTGAATTTTGATCTTTGGGGGGATGCTGCAACGGTTGTAAGCATGAAAAATGGTCGTAAGTCACTTTTTCAGTGCTGTTGTAACTTTGAACGGTCACTAAAGGAACTGTTGTAAGTCAAGGGCTATTTGTCTTGTGTTGGTTAGCTGACTCCAATTTCGGGGACAGCCTTGGGAAGAAGCTAGGTTGCTTATCCACCTAGGTGATCCGTACCGTAGTTTTGGGGTTTGTTTTCTATCAAATGTGAACGTCATTAAAATACGTACTAATCTCTTACTTAGTGTAGCTGCTAGAACTAATGACACACCCAGAGGATTAGGGTTCCAGATTTAGCAAAGTCGATGGAACAACATAGCAGCAACTTTCTTCGCTGGAAGCTTTTGGCACAATCCTGTATTAAGAAACGCTGCTGGTTTCAACTGGACGGATTCCCTTGTGCGGAGTAGGTTCGCTTCCAACCAGGGCTTGCAAAGAGGCCTGTGCACCAGCTGTTGTGTGCCTGGAACAGCTGGTTTGGGGCGATTTGTTTCCCGAATCAAAATACATCTCTGATCTGGATGCAAACCAAATCCAAACAGATTTTTCCAGGCAGATATAACAGGAGAGGCGGAAAAAAGCTCAGGTGGCCCCACAGAAAATCATGCTGTCGCTTAATTAAAAGCTGTAAAAAATTTTCCTCTTCTTTTTTTTCAACACTGTGGCGTCCTTGGTGCTCTCGGAGTTTGGTGGTTTGCTTCCAGACATTTTATTACCCGACCAGGTAACACCATCAGTGTGTGGTGGTGCTTATGTACAAAGTGTGCCCTGCCATTGTTTGGGAAAGTGTGGGTTTCCTCCTTGGTAGTTCTTTGATTTGGGGCTTGCTTTCTGCTTCACTGTTTGTCTGGTGTTAATCCCTGCTTATCTGGGTGGTGGTTGCTGGTCCTTTTGTTTATGGGTTCTATTTTTATTTTTTCTGTCTCTTGAGTGGTGTGCAAATATGATTTATTCACACATCTCCGTGCTAGGTAACTAACAGGGAGCAAAACCCAAACCACCACTCTCGCCAGCACTGATGAGGTTACTTAGTTGGGTAATGAAACACCTGCAAACAAACAAACGAAGCTCTGAAAGCACCAGAGATGCCACAATTCTCCTCCACTCCACAAACCCCACTCCCTTCTAGCACTGATGACGTTACCTCGTTGGGTAATGAAACGTCTGCAAGAAGGCAACCAAGCTCAGAGACCCCCAAGGACCCCACAGTTCAACCAGTGGTGGGATTCAATTTTTTTTACTACCGGTTCTGTGGGCGTGGCTTGGCTTGGTGGGAGTGACAGGGGAAGGATACTGCAAAATCATCCTTCCCTCCCCACCCCACTAACCTGCTTTCCAGCTCCGTTCTCCTGGGCAGGGCAACCAAAGAAGACCCAGCCAATCAGCTGGGACTCAATGGGAGGCGGAGAATAGATGGGGGCGGGGCCAGTCAGAGGCGGTATCGACCAGTTCTCCAAATTACTCAAAATTTCCGCTACTGGTTCTCCAGAACTGGTCAGAACCGGCTGAATCCCACCTCTGGGTTCAACCCTAAGCTCTACATACTCTCTTCGATATTCGATACGGTACTGACTTTTCATAAGATCCTGCCGTGCCGGGAGAAGCGGTTCTAATCCCAACCGCGGAATAATTTCACGTTCCTAAGGAGTCCACCAGGTCAAACATTTTCGTCCCTCCCTAATCCTTGTTCACTTGAAGAACTTACAGGGCTTTTGGTCAGCTGATACACGTGATGACTCCGAAGAAGCTTGCTTGGGGTGCTCACTTGAGTGCAGGGCCCTGCAGTTTTAAGTTCGGGTTTTTTTTTTTTTCCTTTTGCTTTGTTCTCCTGGGAGACGCACATCAATTGCTTTCAGCTAAATGCACTCTCGTATGAATATTTTAGTACAATTTAATGTTTCTGCACTAATCCCCAAGGAGCCAGAGCATCAATTTGAGAACTCTCGGACTTAAAAGCCGAGTCGGATAATGCAGTCCGAACAAGGCTGTCGGTCTTAAAACTTAAAATTCACAGGGCGGGGAAAAAGGTCTAAACATTTTTCTCCTGGATACAGGCAAACAGCGCTTTGAAGTTGTACCTTGAAAGCTTTCAAAAGGCGCAAACCATTTCTTAAATCGAAAGCAAATTTTCCTCCAAATTTTAATCAGCCACAAGTTTACCAGTGGTAGTCTGGAGGTTAAAAAAAATAACCTGATACAGTGAGATGCACTGTACACTTTTAAAAGTTAGGGCTCAGTGAAATAGAAGAAGCTCGAAATGATCTGCATCTCTGCAGAAATTTTAGTGCAAAAATCTTCCAGGAATGCAACTTATTAAAAGTGTGAAAGTTGCTCTCCACGATATGAGTTTCCTAATGCACAACTCAAAAACACTGGCTCGAATTTCTTAAGTACGGGGTACAAAAACTTGGGATGCAAAATAATAGAAAGTTGCATTAGAAGGAAGTCTTTGTGATGATGTCCAGTAATTCTTTAAGCAAACTATTCATTTTATCTAAATTCTGGCCGTTTCTTTAAAGGCAGAAGAAGAAGAACTAAGATGATTAAAGGCCCGGAGACCAAAACATGAAGAACAGTTGGAGGAATTGGGTCTGGCTAGTCTAGAGAAAAGAAGGACTGGGGGAATATGATAGCAGTCTTCCAATATTTGAGGGGCTGCCAGAAAGAGGAAAGGGGTCAAATTATTCTCCAAAGCACCAGAAAGCAAGATGAGAAACCATGGGTGGAAATTAATCAAGGAGAGAAGCAACCTGGAATTAAGGAGAAGTAAGAGAACCACTTAACTAGTGGAACAGCTTCCCTTTAGAAGATGAAGCTTTCAAGAAGAGACTGCACACAGCCTCTGAAATAGTATAGGGCCTCCTGCTTGAGCAGGGAGTTGGACTAGATGACCTCCAAGGTCCCTTCTGATTGAGATTGCAAGTCACCTAGCAGGAAAATCCAGACGGGAAAGGTGGCAGAAGGCACATCCTTTCTTCGGTGGCTGAACTCCAAAAGCATTTTAAGGGCAGCCACTGAATATCCAAATGACCTGGAAGATATATACGTACAGGCCTTGGGGGAGCATTCAGGTGGGCACTGAGAGTGCAAACCAACTTCCAACCAACTTCGGCAAAACTCCTTGGCACTCAAGGCAAGTAGAGCAGAAACATCCACGGCTTCGTTGCTAACCATCCATCTGACAAACGGGACTTTGCAAGCCAGTCCTTGGCTCTAGTTGGGTCAACACTTCCAGCCGGCTGTGCAATTCTCACACACACCCCAAGTGACCCCTAACCCGGGTTCACTCTCCACTTAGCTGCTGGCAACCTAAATGGGGCAAGGGAGTCTGAATGTTTCACACACACACACACACAACACACACATTATTGTTTGCACGTCATAGGAATCATAGAGTTGGAAGAACCCAGAGACGGTGCAGGGATTTGAAGCATTAAAGAGTAATCCTCCACTTACGATCCCAATTGAACCCAGCGGTTGTGTAGCTAAGTTGAGACAGTTGTTAGGTTGTTGATCTTGCCCCATTGTTATCACCTTGGCCAGAGCTGTTCAGCGACAAAGGGACTTACGACCGTTTTTCACGGTTGCCACCTTTGCAGGAATCCCCATGGCCACGTGATCAAAATTCAGGCGTTGGGCAACTGGTTCGTACTTGTGACCGTTGCTGTGTCCCCAAGGTCATGTGATTTGGTGACTTTCTTGACCAGCAAAGCCAGAGGGAAGTCAGGTTCACTTAACGACTGGGTGATCATCCTGGGCACCCTTTTTTTGAACTATTACCATCTGGCAGACAGTACAGGATAATAAAAACAAGGACAAATAGCCTGAAAAACAGCTTCTACCCCAGGGCAGCAGCTCTATTGAATTCTACCATAGAGTGCAATATTAATGCAATATCAGGGATTTTCAATTCAATGTATAGAATGTGAAGGATGTGTGTTTGTGTTTCCATAGTCATAAATTGTGCACTGAAGAGGGTGTTTGATTTCGTTGTACGAGGTGCAATGACAAGAAAGTAAACTAAATTAACTTATCAACTCAGAGCTGAGGAAGCTCCTCGGAGGAGAAGCGAAACCTCTTCAAAGAAAAAGCAGAAAGGCCCGTTGCCTTTAGGACCAACCATGGCCTGGATGTGACTGAGGATCTCCATAGACATTTTATCAACTGCAGCAATTTACTTAACCAGGACGGTGAGAAAGGTCGTAAAATGCAACCCAACAGGACAGAGACAGACTCCAGAAAGTAATTAGGACTGCAGAAAAAAACAATTACTACCCACCTGCCTTCCGTTGAGGACCTGTACACTGCACGAGTCAAAAAGAGGGCTGTGAAAATATTTACAGACCCCTCACATCCCGGACATAAACTGTTTCAACTCCTTCCCACAAAACGACGCTATAGAGCCCTGCACACCAGAACAACTAGACACAGGGGAGTTTTTTTCCAAAACGCCCTCACTCTGCTAAACAAATAAGTCCCTCCACACTGTCCAACTATTTACAAAGTCTGCAGTACTATCACTACTAATCTTCTCATCACTCCTTATCACCCATCTCCTCCCACTTGTGACTGTATGACTGCAACTTTGTCTCTTGTATCCTTACGATTTATACTGACTGTTTCCTGGTATGATTTGATTGCTTATTTGTACCCTGTGACTATCACTAAGTGTGGTATCTTATGATTCTTGACGAATGTATTTATTTTTTTCTTATGTACACTGAGAGCCTATGCATCACAGGCAAGTTTCTTGTGTGTCCAATCACATTTGGCCAATTAAGAATTCTATTCCATTCCATTCCATTCCATATTCTATTCTATTCATATTGTACCCAACGACTGTCATTAAGTGTTGTACCTGTTGATTCTTGATGAATGTATCTTTTCTTTTATGTCCACTGAGAGCATTTGCACCAAAGACAAATTCCTTGTGGGCCCAATCACACTTGGCCAATAAAAAGAATTCTGTTCTATTCTAAAATGGGACCAAAATGTTAAAATGTCTCATTTAAAAAACAGAAACCTTGGGCTCAATTGTGATCGAGGAGTACCTGTAGAAGGAGTGACACAACTCACATAACCAGCTCTGTGACCACACACACACACACAGACACACACACACACAAAGAGCACCCTTTAGGATGATCTGCTAAATGAATAAGGCCATTCTCCTTCAATCTCCGCCGATTTCTTGGCCAGGTAAGCCACCTGTGGCAGTTCCGTAAACAGACTACAGGCCCATAACACAGCGCAGTCCTGGCTCTCTGGTGATCGTAATGCCAACGCCAAATTGTAAACCGGGGCTCGCCTTGTTTTCCTGGCGCCGAATCCACCCTCACGCTTTACTTCTCTAATAAAAGCTTTTCCAACAGCATCCCTGTTGAATTGGGTGCTTTTTCCTGCACAACTCTCCTCAAGTCAGCAAACGAAGCAGGGCTGCTTGGATCTGAATGTCCTGTTCTGAAGAATTATTCCCCCCCAGGGAGCCTTTCTCAGCCTTGGCAAGATAGAGATACGGGGACGTCAACGCTCCGAATTCCCTGGCCGGCCATGAATTCTGGGAGTTAAGTTTCGCGGGTCTTCAAGTTGCCAAGGTTGGACACTTGCTAGAAGGATCAGAATAGAGATGGAAGGGACCTTGGAGGTCTTCTAGTCCAGCCCCCCCTGCTCAAGGAGGAGACCTTAGAGCATTTCAGGTAAGTGTCTGTCCAGTCTCTTCTTACAAGCCTCCAGTGATGGAGTAGCTGCAACTTCTGGGGGCAATTCCTGCTCCATTGGTTAATTATCCTGTCAGAAAATTCCTCCTTTAATTCCAGGTTGCTTCTCTCCTTGGTTAGTTTCCATCCATTGCTTGCCTTCTGGTGCTTTATAAAATAAGTTGACCCCCCACTCTTCTTTGGGGCAACCCCTCAGATACTAGCAGTCTGCAAATCTTTTAAGTCTTGGGGATTCCAACTCCCAGAAACCTCCAGCCAGGATGGGTGGACTGCCGCTCCCCAAATGCATGCATGCTGCCTGGGGAATTCTGGGAATTGAAGTCCACACCTCTTAAAAGATGAAAAGCACTGGTATAAACAAGTCATAAAAGCAGAGACGCCCTACTTCCGCCAGCAGGAACTGAACGGGGAAGACAGGGTGGTCCATTCTGGACAAATTAATAAGCAGAGCTCCTCTCCGACAATATTCAAAGGAAGATCCATTCCACTGACCACAGACTATAAAACAAGGTACGAGTATATTTGAAGAAACAGGATTTTAAGTGAGGATAAACATTGAAAATGGATTGAGTAAGTGTCAAGAAAATAAGAAGAATGGAAAAAAAATTATTGGAAAATGGAAGTAATGATACAATATAGAATTGAATGTGTAAGATAAATATGTACTAAGGTCATGTTCGTAGTGAAGGGTGAAGACCTGGAACCACATTGTTTAAAATGTAAAAATAAAATAAAAATTACTACCAAAAATAAAAAAAAACAACTTCAGGCAACTGACAATCGGAAACACCTGTAAGGAAGGAGACGCAAAGACGGTTCTTTTCTTCTTACACGCGATCCAACCGCTTGGGTCTTCCAAAACTTACCGGGGCTACAATTTTGCCCGTCTGTCCAACTTGCATGTCATTGGGGACGAAGCCGGCATCCACCGCGGCTCGGGAAGCACCGACTGTAACCAAGAAAGATCGCTCGATAGGAAGACAGAAGATTCAGCGCTCGGTCCCCAATCCCTTCCCCGAGGTTAAAATTCCTTCATTGGGCCAAATATCCATTTCTGGATCCCGTCCCTGTCCCGGGTTGACAGGACTGATAATCTTCTAAAGCAGCGGTCACCAGGCAGTGGGCTGGGAACTTGCCCCACGCGCCTAGCCTGGCCACTGGGCCGCTCCTTTCCGCTTCTTCTTTCTTCTTCTTCTTTTGGCTGCGCGCAAGGAAAGCAGCAAAAGTCTTTCTTTCTCTCCCCCAAACTCTGCAGAAAATGAGTCTTTGGGACCCTGCAAGGCCTCCTGCTCCAAGAGGCAGCACCAGCAAAGACTCATTCCTGGCAGAGTTTGGGGGAGAGAAAGAAAAGACTTCTGCGGCTTCTGCTGCTTTCCTTGCATGAAGCCAAAAGTCTCTCCTTTCTCCTGAGAACAGAGATGGAGACGGTATCCTGCGATCCCAAATAAAGATCGATCGATCGGTAGGAAAAACAGGGTGGGGGATTTTCCTGCAGACTTTTGGGGGGATTTTCCCAGGGTCTCTGGTCGGCGGGATTTAAAATGATGAGTTTGGTGGTCCCTGAGGTCCAAAAGGTTGATGACCCGTACTAAAGGGCCTGAAAAGACCAGGAAAGGAATATGTGTAGCTTTAGAGTTGAACTATGGTGCAGTCTGAGCTTGATTCTTGATACAGACCTTTCATGACGTGGTCATATCATCAGTATATGATGGTCACCATCGCCATCAGAGCACTGATGATGTTACCAAGCTGGGTGGTGAAATGTCTGCAAGTCGACAACCAAGCTCAGGGAGCACCAAGGACCCTGCAGAGAAACTAGCATCCAAGCCAACTGATTCCTCGCTTATCAATGGCCAACCCTGAACCAGCCTCCCCACTGAAAAACCACCAATAACAAGAACATGAATTGTTTAAAGAATCAAAACTAAAACTTTTTTTTTACCTGCAGCGTGCAACTGATCAGCCAGGTCATACAACAGCTTAAAGTTATCGCCACTCTTCAAGCCTCGCCCTTAAAAATAAGAAATCAAATCTATTCAAAGTCCAGCATCAAACAGATTCTCTTTGGGGTTGGTGAATTTTTCATTTTTTTAAAAAAAAAGACAGGGATAGCTATCTCTCAGGGAAGCAAGAATGGAGGGTTCTTTGCATTAGACCAGGAGTGATGGGGTAGGACTAGATGATCTTTAAGTTCCTTTCAGCTCTTGCATTCTACTGTATATTCCCACTTCTTCTTCTGCCCAATTCATTCCTCCGTGCACTCCAGTAAAGGAAACGAAGAATTCGGATGACGTTTGCTGTAGTTATTTTCACGTTAAGTGTCGCTTTGGGATTAATGACTTATTTCCTTATCCGAGTGCAACAAAACCAACTGGGTAGAAACAGGATTTAAATCTTGGCAAAAGGTCCTGCCTTTTGCTACGATTTTCTAGCAGGAATGCGGAGAAGCATTTCACTGCTTTCTTTTAAGGTAGAGATACCGAGTGAGATCCAGAGTTACAGTCTTATCTGCCCACTGCGACCGATGAAGAGCGGATCAGTTTGGAATTGGGACTTTTATTGGAGTTCTTCACCAACTGTTAAGTCAGAGGTTGGTATTTATGGGGAATAATATGTCACAAAACACCTAGGTAGACAGTGTAGTAGGGGTTTCCTCCCTTTATTCTATCTCTGGCTGGAAGCTCCACAGCCAGAATTTTGGCAGGGTATTTTAAAACGCAAGTGCTCCTCAACCTATGACCATTTCTGTTGCTAAATGAGACAGTTGTTGAGTGAGTTTTGCATCCCATTTTACAACCTTTCTTGCCACAGTCATTAAATGAACCACTGCAGTTAAGTTAGTAACCTGGTTGTTAAGTGGACCTGGTTTCCCCCTTTGGGATGATGACCCAAAGGGGCGTGGCACAAAAGCAACAAAGTCACAAAAGTAGGGAAAGTCCCTTTAATTCCTCCAATTTGGCCCCCAATGTCCAGTTATCATCGGCTGGAGAAAAAAAACTCTCCCAAGAACAGTTTTTAAAGGGAAGAAATTCAGTCTGAACCCAAAATACATCTAAATTATAAATAAAAACCAACACAAACCTTGCTGCGGCAATTAACGAGACAGGGCAGGATAAGGAATTGCAGAATTCGAAAGATAATGAAACACACAAAGTTGGGAGGACGCCAGAACCCAGATAAGATGTGACAAACCATGATAATTCACGTTTTGCTCCCAGCAAGGCACCTTGCTGGAAGCAAAGCGTGAATTATCTGCAGCTAATGAAGGGAATCAGGGCCCTTTTCTCCCCCGTAAGCCAGGTTGCTCCCTTCTCGGTTCCTCCTTGCATGCCCTAGGATGCAGAGGGGGTGGGCCTGGGTCTTCCTCTGAATGCCCAGCCGGACTGTGACCTTCCCCAGTTTCCACCACAGCCACTGGAACCACACTCCCACTCCCTGTCAGCTGTTCCACCTCTCCCTCGGAATCAGACTCCAACAGGGGCACGACACCCTTTAATTTGCTTGTTGGAAAGTCTCAAAAGGGGACCACGGGACGTTGCAACCATCATAGCTATGAATCAGGTGCCAAGAATTCAAATTTTGACAATGTAACCTTGGGGTCATAAGTCACTTTTTTTCAGTGCCGTTGTAAATTTGAAGGGCCACTATACAAATGGCTGTAAGTCAAGGACTACCTGTATATATTCTCCCTTTTGAATTTGAATAAACTCTGATTAATCACTACTTACCACCTGACACAACCACTTTTGCACTAGTAAGTTCTGGCCGGTCACTTTTGGTTAATTTCTGCTCCATCCATTCCGACAGACCAACAGGTGCAGGGGCTGATACTGTGTAAAAATTAAAAATTAAGTAAGTAAAAATTAATCCTGATACTTAAGAGAGGCTGAATACTTCTGCAAAGTCCACAGTATTCCCCAGCTATTATTTCCAAGCCAAAATATTCTTCTCTAAAAACACATTTTAAACAGGGTTATAAATAAAAGAGCCGTAATCAGATTAGCATTCATTTCATAGGACAATGGGCTTCACTACAACAGAAACTTATTGCACAAATTTGAGTCTACTGAAAACATTTCCTTCTGGCACTGATATTCTTACCTAGTTGGGTAATGAGACGTCGGCAAGAAAACCACCCAAGGCTCAGAGAACAACTAGGACCCCACCAAAAGAAGTTTACTCCAATACTGCTTTCTATCATTTCCAAGCAGGACAGTTAGGATCGCATCTGGGCAGGGTGAAAGTTTGAGTTTAAATCTTAGCGGCTGCCCAAAACAAGTTAGGTATTGCAAGATAGGGCATCCAAGAATTCTACACGCCTTGCATTTCCACAAAATATCCACCCAGAAAAAGAACACAGATCAAAACTGATAAGAGAACTTTTGAGAATCAGGAAAACACAAGAAGAGAGGGGTACGCAAGAATCGTCTTAGGCAGCAAGTTTCGGTATTTGATCCATGTTTTAAACCAATGACATCCTTGGAAGCCAAGGAAGGGAAAACTCACTTTTTTCTACGGCTGCGCTGCCCCCGCTCACTGGGGCAGCCTCAAAGGAAGTCCCTCTGACGGTAAGGACCTTGATTTTCTCGTCACATTTCACGGTGCACAGAGCGTTGCCTGACACAAACAAAAACCCAGAGGGGAAAAAAAAAAAAGAGTTAAACACAGCTGCGCCCAGAATAGGACTTTTGTCTGTTGTTCACATGAAACTACTTCAGGCAGTGAAACTGAAAAGGCTCAGTAGTAGCCTTGGGAGTTGTGTGTTTCCACTTTTTCCGCGAGCTTTAAGACTCCTTTCCTTCCTTTGTGAAGCTGAACAACTCGACCTATTCGGGAGAAGTGAATTTTTGCAGGAGTCTGCGGGGGTGGTTTTCGCGTGAAAAAAGCACCTACTGTCTGAACACAATCAGTCGCGAGCCACGATCAGAAAGAAAAAAATGTTTGTGAGAGTAGGGAGTTTGGAAAATGGAAGGAGGAGGAGGAGGAGGAGGAGGAAAAAAAGAAGAAAAAAAGGAAGAAAAGGAAAAAGAGAAGGAGACAGAGGAGGGAAGGAGGGAAAGAGGAGGAAAAAGAGGAGAAAGGTAAGGAGGAGGAAGAACTAGAGAAAGAAAGAAAGAAAAAGAAAGAAAGAAAGAAAGAAAGAAAGAAAGAAAGAAAGAAAGAAAGAAAGAAAGAAAGAAAGAGGGAGGGAGGAGGAGGAGGAGGAAAAAGAGAAGGAGAAAGAAAAAAAGGAAGAAAAGGAGAAAGAGGAGGAGACAGAGGAGGGAAGGAGGGAGAGAGGAGGAAAAAGAGGAGAAAGGTAAAGAGGAGGAAGAACTAGAGAAAGAGAGAGGGAGGGAGGAGGAAGAGGAGGATGGAGAGGGGGAGGAAGCAGAAGGAGAGCTTATCTACTGGTACACCGGCATAATGGTTTTTAAAAAGGGAATTATCAGACAGTGATTTTCAAGCCTCCCTCTCTATGAAATCCATCAATCTCCAAGGCAGGACAGCACTGACCAGAGGAAAATAAAGGACTCTGCCATACACAAATTTAAAATGACATAAAAGCTCTTGTTTCCATGCCCAAATTACATTAGAGGATCAGATAAAACGTAATGAGGCTAGACAAGTATTTGGGCTGCACAATAATTAGGGGAAGTCAATTAAATATTACAAATAATTGTATCAATGTCCTGCTAACCAAGAAAAATAACCCTACGTAGACTGCTGAAATCCGAACTAATGTGTAACCCCCGTGAAATAAAAGGAATCGAGCCGGATGGCTGACGGCTGGCAAAATCTGATCAGAAGAGCATTAACAAGAACGCGATATAAATTTCCTAAAATAAAATAAATAAATAAAAATACGTTATCAGGAATGTCTGCAGATTTGGTTAATTAAGAAGCGCTCTCTGCTTTCTCAGAAACACTGACCTACAATCCTACAGGACAGGGAAGGATCCCATTAGCTGTGTCGGAAAAAAATCATTTCTTTTTCCCCCAGATTCTAGTGTTTCTTTTTTCTTTTCTTTTTGAGCTTCTGGGGGAGGTCACAGGTAGCCCCAAAAAGGCCCGCAAGCCTCACCTGCATAAATAGTCCTCACAAAAGTATCCGGTGACTTGATTTCAATGATGTCTGAGACGGGAGCAACATCCAACTTAGCTGCCACTCTGGGAAGGAGGTTCTAAATATTAAAAAAAAAATATATATATATATACAGAGGGTCACCACGGAAACAACAACTCAGCAAAAAAAACCACGCAGAGGTTCAGAACTCTGCCCTGGAAATGACAGCTACATTTAAGAAGTATATTCAGGGCTTCTGGGTGACCTAAGCTCTATTAAAAAAATCTAATTTAAAATCTCACCTTCCCAAAGGCAGTTGCTCCGGCACAGATGTGCGTGAAACTGAACTGCTTCTGAGTTTCCAAAATCAGTGGGGTTAGTTCCTCTGGAGAGAAAATGCAACCGGTCAGCACAATGTTATTTTTTTTTCTTCTTCTTCTTCTTGTTAAGGAGGATCTGGCGAAAGAAAGTCTGCCAAGGATTTCAATACAAAATCCAAAAAAAAAAAGGAAACTCACCAGCCAGAAGTCCTTTATAGGCGTCGTGTTCGGCGAAAAGCACCTTCGAAACTCCCTGCACTTTGCTCAGCTCTTGTGCCACCTGTGAGAAGCAGAGGGTGAGAAGCCAATGTTCCCCAATCCCCAGAATTCCTAGCTGCCTCATCTCATCCTGGGCACCCTTTTTTTGAACTATTACCATCGGGCAGGCGGTACAGGATAATAAAAACAAGGACAAATGGGCTGAAAAACAGCTTCTATCCCAGGGCAGGAGCTCTACTGTAGAATTACAGTTAATGCAACATCAGGGGTTTTTTAAATCCAATGTATAGCATGCGAAGGATGTGTGTTTGTGTTTATTTTCATAGTCATAATGGAGACTGAAAATGGTATTTAATTTCATTGTACAAGGGGCAACTACAATAAACCAACCCAACCCAAACTAAAACTAAACTAAAAATAAATTAAAACTAAACCTAGTCTCCACACTTCTGGAATGTTAAGATTATTATTTATACAGGGTGGTGTTTGTCAACCTTGGCAGCTCTGAGATATGTGGACTTCAATTCCCAGAATTCCCCAGCCACGCTAGCCAGGGAATTCTGGGAATTGAAGTCCATACAAGGTTGATAAACACCGGTCTAAGGGAAGCATTTCTCCCTGGCCTAGATGCTGGCGAGAAAATAATTACACATGGGAGATGCAGAAATATAATTAAGAGCAGTTTCTCAACTTTCAGACGTGTGGACTCCATCTCCCAGAATTCCATGGTGGCTGGGGAATTCTGGGAGTTGAAGTTACCAAGGTTGAAAAACATTGATTTGTAGCTAGGAAACACTCAATTCTTTCAGTCCTGAGACAGCTTCAACATTTTATTTATAATATATATATATTATATATATATATATATATATTTGTACACAAGTTTGAAAGACTCTCACACCAGACAAATTAGCACTTTTTGGTTCAAGTTATAAATGACACCAACTCCCTGGGTCAGCATACTTTTTTGGTTTTACCTTTTCACAATTGGTCCCTGCTACTAAACAGGCCACTTCACCCCCGAGTCGTTTTGCCGCAGTAACGGCGTTCAAAGTAATGGGTGTCAGGGCCTCGTTGGCATGTTCAGCGATTACCAGCGTACTCTGAAACCGGTGAAGCAATGAAACCTGGAAAAGACAAAAGAAAGAAGAAAAAAGCAGTTAAATTAAAAATCAAAAGTACCTGGAAGTTCTGCATGGACAAATAAGATATGCCACAAATGTCAGCATTTGTTTAGTGCTCTGTTTTCATCAAGAGGATAAATTATTTTGTACATAGAGGCCTTCATATTTATGACAGTTGCTGTGTCCCAATCAGATCGGTTTTTGCGACCTTCGGATAAGCAATGTCAATGGGGAAATTCAGATTCACTTAATAACCACATTACTAACTTAACAACGGGGCAAAATTCAGTTAACAGCCGTCTCAATCAGCAGCAGAAATTTTGGGCTCAATTGTGGTTGTTAAGTTGAGGACTACCTGTACACACCTGAGCTTAAATCTTCAGTATTTATTTCCCCGCTTAGAACCAATTCTCCAATTAGATGTTTTTTCAGCCCCTCCTTAAAGTTCACTGCAAATTCATAACTACCCTTTTCAATTGCTTCATTACTGGCTCCACATAAAAAGAGATTTTATGGAGACCTCCAAGTTATGGAGGTGCCCTGGATGATGGGCTCAGTGATCCGTGACCTCGTGGGAAGAACAGCGCCGGTTTCCGTAGGATGCTTCAGGTTCCCACGTAAGGGTATTAAATCATCAAAAGGGTGTAAAAAGATTTTTAAATCATTCGAGGTGAATTACCAGGAAGAAAGTACTTATTTCCAATAAGTACATCAAAAAGGAGCACATTTTTGATGACGCTCCATCCATCATTTCCCAGAAAAAGTTACAAGGCCGCAGGGCGCTGCTGCCGGAGGAATAAATCTGTATCTTCGTGGCAAAATGCCCACATTTGCTTAAATTTATGGTCCTGTCACAAAGGGAAATATGCTGTAACAGCTGAAAGTTGGGAAGCTTTACGTTTCCAGCAAGGTGCTTGAAAAAAAACCCATCCAGTGTTTTCTGGAGAGAAGCTGTCTTTTGTTTATTAATAAATACCTGTTCCGACCAAGGCTTCCCGAGAGAGTTAACAGTCTCACGCTAATCCCCAAAACCTTTTCTGTTTTATTTCAATGGCTGTGAATTATATGCATTCACAGCCCGTAATGAATCCCAAACAGTCTGTGAATAGTTCAACAGAAGTTCTGCCACAATCCTTTGGGATAAGGCTGATAAGTATCCACCTTTATCTCCCTTGAAATGCTGCCAACGACTACATTGCCCATTATCTGTACAAGGCCAAATGGAGCACAAAGGCAACACAGAGCTTCAGAGTTTAAACCAACCAGAATGAAACAAAGTTGCTTCCTGCAAAGGCTCCTGTCCCTTTGCTCCTCCTTCATCTCTTATGGGAGGGGCCAATCACCTCCAAGCCTTACTCCTGAGTCACCCCCTTTATCTTAACTGTTCTTGCCTTCTGGCAGCTCTGTGCATGCGCACACTGGGAACAGGCTCCCGCTGTTCCTCTGCCTCGCTGTCAGATTCTGGAGGCTCCGGAGTCAGCACATAACTCCCAGATGGCCCAGGCCCTATTTCTGCATCAGATGCAGATCCCTTGTCTGAGCCCTCCCCAGACTCCAGGAGGCTCATGGTCCTCCCCACTGTCTGACTCTGCTGCCAGCTCCGCAGGCTGCCGGCAGACCACAATAATACCTAAAGTAAAATTCGTGAGGATGGGATCAAAGGCCACTTTTCTGGAGCTGCATCTTCAACTTTTGAGCCCCCAAAATTTCTGTGGTTGAGGGAGACATTCGTTAAGTGAGCTTTGCCCCATTTGATGAGCTTTCTTGCCTCCGTTGTTATGTGAATCGCTGCAGCTGATAAAGTGAGTAACCCGGTCATGAAGTGAATCTGGCTTCCCCGCTGACTTTTGCTCGCAAAAGGGGATCCCATGACCCCGGGACATTGCAACCGTCATAAATATGAGTCAGTTGCCAAGCGCCTGTATTTTGATCTTGTGACCCTGGGGATGGCTGCAATGGTCGTGTGAAAAACGGTCCTCATTCGGGTTTTTCAGTGCCATTGTAACCTTGAACAGTCACTAAATGAAGTGTTGTAAGCCGAGGACCACCTGCGTCCATTTCTCCTTGATTTCTCCACCTTTGGGGAAAGGGGCAGATCTTACCCAGAATGTGGACCAGCTGACTAGCTGCTCCTGCAGATCACCTTTCCTCCTGAAACCTTCTGTGTCATTTGTTTTGGGATTATTTTTTATCTGTGCCATGCATTCATAGGGCCTTTTTTATTACTAGATACATAGTGCGTTATCAGTAGTGCCTTGCTCTGTTTTTAAGATTTTTTTTAAATGCAGGGGTTTTTCTATCATTCCACGTCCTTCCTTAAAAACCAGAGTGTCGTGCCCCTGTTGACGTCTGAATCCAAGGAGGAAGACGAACAGCTGGCAGGGAGCAGGGGGGGTGGCTCCATTGGCTGGGGAGGAGGCTGGGGAAGGGCAAAGACCGGCTGGGCAGAGCAGGGGAGAGGTAGAACAAGGGAGAGGGAGTTCAGAGGAAGACCCAGGCCCACCCCCTCTTCATCCTAAGGCATGCAGGGGAGAACGGAGAAAGGAGCAACGTGGGTTGCATGGCTTACAGGGGAGGAAAGGGCCCTGATTCCCTTCATTAGGTGTAGCTGGGAAGAGAGTTTAAAAGAGATGCATGCTGAGTGAGGCAGCTGCTGGGAGCAAATGTGACTTTTTCCTGTTGTCTTTGCTTATCTGCATTCCTGGCATCCTCCCCAGCGGATTGAATTACTGCTGTTCCTTCACGTCTGGAATTCCTTCTCCTGCCCTGCCAAACTAATTCCCTCAGTTTGGCTTGATTGGACTTTAAGTTACAGTTTGTGTTGACCACGTTTTGGACTTGATTCTCTGCAGCCAAAGGCTGTTCCTGGGAGAGTTTTTCTCCAGCCCAGAAGGTAACCAGGACACTGGGGGCAAAGTTGGAGCTAATAAAAGGACTCTTATTAACTGACTGTGTTGCCTTTGTGCCACGCCCCTTTGGGTCATCACACACAGAGCCTATAAACACTCTCAAAAAGAGACTGAACAGCCTCTGAAATGGTATATGCTCTTCTGCTTGAGCCGGGGGGGGTTGGATTAGATGACCTCCAAGGCCCCTTCCAGCTCTATTCTGATCGACTGATCGACGTCTTTTGAAAAGGTTGGTCTCTTCTCTGTCCTATTCCAACCTTGCTCACTTTGAAAGTTGATCCACTTTTGATCGATTAGGAACCCAGCCAGGAGGGAGGGAGGGAGGGAGGGAGGGAAAACAAGGCCAGGGGCGGGATTCCAGTTAACCATTAACAGAGCAGCAGCCCTCCAAGAAAGAAAGCCCCGTGTCTCTCGCCCGGCCTGCTTGTGCAAAAGTCATGGTTTCCCCCCACCCACGACGGCTTCATTGAGCAACACTTCACCCAACAGGCTCTGCTACCTCCTTCACGGCTTCAGCCCACGAACCTCTTTTGATGTGGCTTGCGTTGCTGCCTCGCGGGGACTCGGGGCCCTGATGGAAACTGCGGGAGAAAACATTTACCGGCGGGGTGGTGGTGGTTTTTTTTTGTTTTGTTTTTTAATGAAAGCTTGAGTGCCGCATAATTCACCCGTGACACATTGATGGGTACTTTGCTGGAAATGTATAAACACACGGTGGGAGTAAGATTGCTCTATTCACGTTTATAGAGCTCATTTCCACAAGGGAGCGGGGAGAGGCTTAAACTTGGGGTTTTTAAACCTTTTCAGAAACCAAATTCCCCAAATTCCTGACCCGGTGAGAGAAAATGGACTGCCTTTAGTTGTTTCTGCTCTTTACCTGCCATGCAATCCCCGCTAAACGCAAGTTGGAGAAACCTTGGTTTAAAAGTCCAGCAGATACACTCCATAAGATCTAGTCGAGCAGAGGATAAAGATCTGAGGAATGTTTTAATCTGAATTCCTACGCCGCCGAGGTGCTTTTCTTTCTGCTTCTACAAGCCCAACGGGCAGCCTGTTGTCATAGCTCTTAAGCTACCAGAGGGTGCTGCTCTCCAGCAAAAAAATCAGGTTTCAAACGTGGCCTCTAACTGCTGTGGTTTGCCAGCAGCGGAATCGGACCGTGGGGAAGAAAGGGGACCAGTCTGGGAGTCTGCAGAGGACTCGGACAAGGGTCCTGCCTCCGATGCAGAGATGGGGCCAGGATCGTCTGGGAGTGGGGTGCTGCCTCTGGAGCCTCGCAGCAGTGAGGACGACGACCCAGGGGAGCCTGTTTCCAGTGTGCTTGTGTGCAGAGCTTCTAGAAGGCGAGAGCAGCTGAGACAAAAGGGGCAACTCAGGAGTAAGGCTGGGAGGTGATTGCTCCTCCCATAAGATATAAAGGACAGGCAAAGGGAGAGAAACCTTTGCAGGAAGCAAAGTCGTTCATTCTGTTCGGATTAATCCTTGAAGCTCTGTGTGGACTTTGTACTTCGGTTGGTTGTTTTTTTTTTAACCGTTCATTTGGCACTTTAGTTGCTGGTAGCAATTCAAAGGAGAGAAAGGTGGGTGCTTATCTCGAGGAACTGTTTGGGACTCATTACGGGCTGGGAATGCACATAATTCCCAGCGTTGAAATAAAACAAGAGTTTTTTTGGACTAAGCGCGTGCTTAATTATGGTCGTGAGAAGCCTGGGTCAGAACACTAACTCAGTATGTAAGTAAGCTGTTTCCCCCCCCTTCCAGGAATATCATCTCAGAAGAATCCATGGTCAGTTTTCTCACACTGACAACCACAAAGGCTACAAGGCCACGTTGAAGACCCAGCCATCCAGTTGGCAAAACCAGGAAAACAAACCTCTGGGACCTTCAACTTTACCAAATAAACCACACTGGCACAGAAGAAGCGAAACCAGCTCTAAAACCAGCTTCCCACACAAAAGCAGGCGTAGTTGATTCCTTGTTTTCCTTCACAGGCCACACACGTCCACCCCTCCCTCCTCTTCATTTCTATCCTTCACAAGGTGAGATCGCAACTTATGGGATGTTGCTGTCAATGACACCACGAGGAAGCTATGAAGTTTGGAGCTGAAGGGTGGGACACCAGGGTGGTGGTTGGTTTTTTTTTTGACGTCCTGATGTTTTGTTGGCAGCTGCAGCTGGCATCTTCGGAGGCAGAGCAAGCGCCGTTGTAGCCTGTCTCTCAGCTGCTCAGACACCAGAAAATGAGACCACGGTTGTTCAGCCCCAAGGCTCATCCCTCCTGGATTGATTCCACCTGCGAAAGCCAGCCCAGAATAACCAGCATAAAGGTTGACATGCCAGGGATGGGCCAGGAACATTCCCCAAGAGCCTGCCAGGGCTTTGCAGAAATTGTACACAGCAAGCCGCTTGAATTCGTACGCCACTCAGAGATGCCTGGATATAATTTAGCAACTGTACATAAATGGACTCCCCCCAAATTTTAAAAAAATACATAAACGTCAATAAATGTAGACACTCTATCGCAAGGGTCTCCAACCTTGGCCCCTTTAAGACTGGTGGACAGAGCTAGCCTGCAATGCTGCATTCTAACCACAGAGAAGGAAGGAAGGAAGGAAGGAAGGAAGGAAGGAAGGAAGGAAGGAAGGAAGGAAGGAAGGAAGGAAGGAAGGGGAACTAATGAAGAAGGAAGGAAGGAAGAAGGAACGAAGGAAGGAAGAGGGAGGAAGGAAGGAGGGAGGGAGGGACGAAGAAGGAAGGAAGAGAGATTGAAGGAAGGAAGAAGGAGGAAGGAGGAACTAATGAAGGAAGGAAGGAAGAAGGGAGAAGGAACGAAGAAGGAAGGAGGGAGGAAGAAGGAAGGAAGAGAGACTGAAGGAAGGAAGGAAGGAAGGGGGAAGGAAGGAAGGAAGGAAGGAAGGAAGGAAGGAAGGAAGGAAGGAAGGAAGGGTGTGGGGGAGTGGAAGACTTGGAAAGAAGGGAAGATGCAAAAAAAGATCCTTCTTCATTCCCACTTCTCACCAGGGGTCCCCAAACTTGGCCCCTTTAAGACTTTGTGGACTTCAACTCCCAGAATCCCCCAGCCAGCATAGCTTACCCTCTTGTGATCCCTTCCTCTGCAATCTCTCTCCACTTTAGGAGGTTAAGAGAAAAAAAAAGACACGGCCGGCTGGAGAATTCTGGGAGTCAGAAGTCCACAAGTCTTTATAAAGTTGGCCAAATTTGGGGAGCCCTGAAATAGACAAAACAAATCGAAGCCGTCAAATCCCAAATTTTCCCAAGGGCTCCATTTCTTCAGAGGGGATTTTTTTTGGCGGGGGGGGGGGGGGGGAGGGAAAGGGGGGCCCCCATCCCGGTTTCTCAGGCCCCCCCCCCCCCCAAGAGTATCTGGTGCTGTGACGGAGCCCCCGGGGCGGCGCATGCCCAGAATAAAGGGGGGAGGGGAGAGGCATGGGAAAGGGGGCCAGGGCCCCTTGACCTAGAGGAGACCCCCAATTTAGGCATCCAGGCTGCAAATGGACCCCATTGGGGACACCCCCATGTTGCAATGAGGTGGCCTAAAGACCTGGGGGGAGGGGTTTCCAGGTGAGAGGGGCGTGGCTAAGTTTATCCCCGCCCCCAAAGACCCCCCCCACCCTTTAAGTGGGACAAACTTGGGTCATTCCTGCCAGCCCCACTTTGCCCTCCCTGTCCTACCCTGCAGGGCCGGCAGAGGAGGAGGAGGAGGAAGGGAGGGGCTTTAAAGGCCACGCCCCCTCCGGAGCCCCTCCCACTCGGTCCTCAGCCAATGTGACCTTTGCCCTTGGAAGCGCGGCCGGCCTACGCTGAAGGGCCACCCGTCAGGGAGGCCGGGCCCGTGGCTGCAGACGGCACTCACCGCTCTCCGGCCCAGGGGATGCGCCCTGAGGAAGCCCCGAAGCGCGGCCATGGCGGCGTAACCGGACGGCGAGCCTTCTTCCTCCTCCTCTTCCTCGGCCTCCGCCTCAGGCGCCGCCCCCGCCCCGTCTCATCTCGCGAGAGTTTCTGGGGAACGAGAGGCCGTTGGTATGGAGGAGGGGGGGGAGGAGAAGGAACAGCGGCGTCGCTTCTCATTGGCGGACGGCAGCCAATCAGCGAAAGAGGCGGGAACGCCAATTTTCTTTTTCCGCCCAGTCGGCCCGCTGTTGAAAATAAGCTAGAAAGAGGCGGGGTGACTTTTGACGAAGTGGCCAATCAGAGGAAAGGAGGCGGGGCGGGTTGTTTTTTTTCCCTGATTCATATGCTCCTTAGCGCCGCCTGGAAAGGCGCAGCGCTTGGACTTCATCTCCCATAAGCCCTTTCGCTGGGGGCTTCTGGGAGTTGTTGTCCTGTCTATAATCCCAAATGGTATATAAACCAGGGTTCCCCCAACCTGGGCGACTCTTAAGATGGACTTCAATTCCCAGAATTCCCCAGCCACGAATCCCTTCTTCTGTATGAAATATCCAAATATTTTCAAATTTAAGCTTCCTATGGGTGCTTCAGAAGAACACTCTGCTTTTATGGCATTAAAATTATATATATATGTGTGTGTGTGTGTGTGTGTGTTATTATAAAAATACTTTATTAAACAAATTTATACAAATACAATAAATTCAAACTATCCGCTTATCGCAACTTAAAGAAAGCATTATATTTTATTCCTCTTGTTTTCGAGAGTTTTCTCCAGCGCTGTGATTTTACATCGTTCAGACAGTCCCGTTTATGTAGTGGTGATATGCCGGATGTTTCTGCGATGGGTACGATCTCTCTGCCCTTTAATATCAGAAAGATATTCTGATATTCGGTCTAAGATTTATCATTGGTATTTCTATGACAGAGATGCCCAAACTTGGCAACTTTAAGACTTGTGGACTTCAACTCCCAGAATTCTCCAGCCAGCTGGCTGGAGAATTCTGGGAGCTGAAGTCCACAAGTCTTAAAGTTGTCAAGTTTGGAGATCTCTGGTCTATGACATAGCGGATTCCCAAATAAAACTCAGGGTGATTTTGTGACAAAAACACCATAAATACCCTGGCTGGTAAAGCCTGAATTTGTAAGGGAAGTACCCCGTCTACTATTTTAAACAAACATCTGCTCCAAAGCTCGCAGGGACTTTGCATAATCTGCCCGTAGGTGCCTGGAACAAGATTGGAAAGCCGAAACAGCGCCGGGGGGGGGGGGGGTTCTTGCCTGTTTCTCCTCCCTCCCCTTCCCCTCTCCTCTTTGCCAACTGTCTGTTTGACCTAGCAAGCTTCAAAGCCCAGTCACGCCACACCAGCCCCGGCCAGGCCCCGTATCTCCCTTCCAAGAGATTTACTGCTCCGTCAGCTGACGCTCCCTTGCTCAGACGCGGCTCAAAGGCCATTAAATCTGCGCAGGCTCTCGTTCTTTCCCCTTCGGTAATTTATGGGCTTTCAAGGGGCCTTTTTTTTTTTTAAGGAACCAAGCCTCTCTCGGTCTCTGGATTTGAATTTCATGGGGCAATATGAAAATGATTAAAGGAGAACTCCTTGGAATGCAGGTGGGCGGTTGTGGAAGCAGCAGATGCAACCAAATTCAACCTCAGTGGTTTTATCTAATCCTGCTCAGGACGAGCAGCTGGCCGTAGTGGCACAAAACCCCCGTGGGAGAAACAGGGTGCCAGGATGTCACCAAGAACAGTGGCGGCTTTCAAAACACCAAATGTTTGGGCACCTCTTACAGATTTGTCCTCGATTTTCAACAATCCACTTAGTGACTCTTCCAAGTTACATCGGGGGGAAAAAAAAACGGTCATGAAGTCACTGTTGTCAGTGCCGTTGTAACTTTGAACGGTCACTAAATGGAGTCGTTAGTAGAGGACTTACTTGTACCT